ATATCAGCATGGTATTGGTAAATAAAAAGACATGAAGATCAATGAGATAGATTAGAAAATGCAGATGCAACTACAAACACACTCAGCCACCTTATCTTTGACAAAGGGGCCAAGCATGCTTACTGGAAGAAAGATTGCCTCTTTAACAAATGGTGCTAGAAAAACTGGCTTTCTACATTCCAAAAACTAAAACTTGACCCATGTCTATCACCATGCACTAAAGCCAAAATGGGTTATAAAGATCGAAACATTAAAACAGAAATACTCAACCTCCTGGAAAAGAAAGTAGGTTGAAATCTTGAAGACACAGGAGTAGGCAAACAATTCATGAACAAAAATTAAACTGCATGGGAAATCCTTGAAAGAATTAACAACTGGGACCTCCTCTTATTGAGAAATTTTTGCACGTCAAAAGAAATCACCAACAGAGTAAAAAGACAACCCACATGTTTGGAAAAAATCTTAACTGACAAACACTCAGACAAAGTTATTATATCTCGAATTTATAAAGAACTAAAAAACAGTAGGGCCCCAAAATTTGAAGACCCAGTCCAAAAATGGGCATCTGAGATGAACACACACTTCTCAAAGGAACAAATACAGGAAGGAAATAAATACATGAAAAAAAATGCTCCACATCACTGGCCATTCATAAAATGCAACTAAAAACAACACTGAGATTCCAGATCACCCCAGAAAGAATGACTATCATAAAGAAATCAACCAACAATAAATGTTGGAGAGGCTTCAGGAAGAAGGAACCCTTCTCCACTGCTGATGGGAAAGTAGACTGGTACAGCTACACTGATTATGGAAATCAGTGTGGAGCATCCTCAAAAAATTAGGACTGGAAATCCCATTCAATCCAGCTATCCCCCTTCTGGGAATTTTCCCAAAAGAACTGAAAACAGCATATCATAGTGATATATGTGCACCTATGTTTATAGCAGCACAATTTGTGATAACCAAATCTTGGAAACAACCAAGATGCCCATCACCTGAGGAATGGATGAAAAAGATGCGGTGTTTTTATACAATGGAGTATTACTGAGCTATAAAGAAAAATAAATTCAGCCTTTACATATAAGTGGATACAACCTGAAGATATACTCATAAGTGAAATAAACCAGACCCACATGTGTAAATATCGCATTGTCTCCCTAGTGTAAGAACTCGAAAAAAGAAATAAAAATTGAAAGATGTACCACAGTTAAATGGAAAGCGAGAACTTAAGGATTAAACAATGAAGACAGAGAAAGGAGAAAAGTTAAGAAATGTGGCACAGGCAAAACCATGTATTTATAAACAAGATGTTTAAGGAAATGGTCCTAAGAATCTCCATCACATTTTTGAAATTAGCAGTTAATGGGTAGAATTCTCACCCTAACTCTGTGTGCTGATATCTGTGAACTAAACAACTACACTGAGTATAACAATGTGTAATACTAAAACCATGCTTGAAATACCTGTCATTTTGGTCTTCTAAATGAGTCCTGCTTCAAATGTCATATAAATTATTGCTATACTCTCTTTAAAGTAAATGTTTGAAAAAAAGAAGTAGTAAAAGAAAACAAGAGTCAAGAAAAAAAATAAGCTATCTCTGTTTACATAAAGGGCTATCAAGACCTATGAACTCATTCAAATCCTGAAATAATAATTACATCCTCTTGGATTTTTGATAGTTTATCTAATTTGTATGTTGTATTTTTCTTATTAGCCAAATTCGCATAAGTATTATACCTACTACAAAGGTAACCGCTCAAGTCATAGGGGCAGCCATTACCTTTAAAAAAAAACTAAAGTGTTTTAATAACACTTTAGTGTTATTAATTCCTAATAATTGTATAGGAATGAATTCTACCTGGTCATGGTGTATAATTTTCTTGATGACTTGCTGCATTCTGTTTGCTAAGATTTTATTGAAGATTTTTTCATCTATGTTCATGAGGGAGATTGGGCTGTAGTTTTCTTTTTCAGATAATCTTTAAGATGGAAGAGACCCTTCCATTGCCCAACTATCTACAGTGCTGCTTGAGGCAACCCGAGGGAGCACAAGCAGGGTCTGTGCAGAGCCTATCCAGTCAAACTCAGTGTCTAGGATGTGGTCTTACAGCCCTGAGTGGATGTGATGCTGTCTTCCTGTCTGCTCTCTCTTCTTCACGATTATCTGTGCTTACCATTCCCCACTAAGAGGGCAACTCATCTCTCTCACTTATCACTTAATTCCAAACAAGTAGAAGAGTACCTGGGACAGTTGCAGTGGTGAGCAAGTATGTGTCTGATGACTGATGAATTAATAATCCCTGCCTTGTAGGTATTGTATAGTAATCTTAATAAGAAAGTACAACTCTGTATATCTCAGTATACTTCACACAAATCCTTAGTTCAAATATACTCAATCAACCGGCCTCTCCACAACACCTCATCCTTACTCTATTCCCATGTTTGATGAACATTCCCTCATCTTCTTTATGCTCATACAAACTTTACTTTTCTTTTGAATCTTACAAATCCCACTTGATTGTTATTAGCTTTTTTTTCTAGTACTGGGAATTAAACTCAGGAACTTGCTCTTGCCCGGCAGACATTTATGCCCCTGATATCTCCCTAGGCCTGTTATTAGATTTTTACTTACAATGCTTTCTCTGCACATAGCGGTATGGGCGCTGTCTTGCAGGCCTTACTTCATCTATGTATGAATGTTCCACTGTAGTTGTCTGATAGCTATTGTCTGATGCAACAACTGCTAATAAAGGTCATTCACCTTTAATCCACATGATTAAGGTGACTGAAAATGAAAGAGAAAATATTAATTGTGCTTTTCCCCCATGACAGAAAATCCTACCCTTTTCCTAAAATGATGAAGTTTTATGTTTGTGTACCATGCTGGTAAGTCAAAGGTGAGGTGACAGATTAAATGCAACAGACAGAGCAGGAACAGGATATTATTAAAAAGATCTAAGGCTTAATTTAAAGGTAATGTATGTGATAAGTTTATAAAAAGAGATCACCAACTACAAAACTCTCACTTTTTTTTTTTTTTTTGCAGTTTAGAGATACTGTACTAACATCCATAACAGTCAGCATCTTTTCTTGCCCTTTTTTTTTTCTTTTTCTTTTTCTTTTTTTTTTTTCTTTTTTTTTTTATTTTATTTTATTTTTTTTTATTTTTATTTTTTAGTACAGGGTCTCACTACAGAGATTGGACTCATAGCGATCCGCCTGTGTTCAGCCTCCCACGAGCTAGGATTACAGGTGCGCCGCCACCATGCCCGGTCTCTATCACAGTCTCAGCTCACCTCCCGGAGGCAGGGCCAGCGCAGCAGCCTGGGGATCAAACCCCCAGCATCTGTCTAGGCAGGCGCTTTTTCTTGCCTCTTTTCCACACCCATGAGCCATCTCAGTATATCGATCAGTCTTACAATATTATTCATTTAACTAATCTCCTCTCATTAGTTATACCACTACATTGTCTTTGTGATCCCTGTGTCTTTTTAAGCATGTTGAACCGTAAGGAGAGACAGCAAGTCTGAACAATATCTACATTTGAAAGCTCATGTAGCAATAGAAGAAGAGAAGAATTACTGTTGTAATGTAGTGAAAAGTATTTGGCTACTGGGTAGATGGTACTGGTTTATCAAGTGTGATCCTAGAAGTTACCCAAATTCCTTAAACTCCTCCTCCCCCCTCACATGTAAAATTACCATGATAGTGCCCATTATACATATACTCAGTCATCAAATATCTACTGGGTGGTAATTGTATGTCAGTTTCTATTTTAAAGCTGTACAGGATATCATTCTGGGGACACATGACAAAAATTAAATGTGAACTGAGGCGTGGCCTGTGCCTGCCTACCTAGCATGCACAGGTGTGCAGTCTGATTCTGAGCAGTGCATAAAAACAAAAACAAAAAATATATATAGGATGATTAGGTGTACCTGATAGTGATGTTTTATGGAAAAACCATTAAATAAGGAGAAGGAAAAAGAATGTGAGTTGGTTTGTGATAGGGTAGGAGCCCTAAGTGTTAGAAAATAAGCTTCAGGTAGCTAGTGTTCTGGACTGTGCTCTATAATTTTATCCAGCCCAGTATATAACTTTTTTAATGAATACTAAACACCAGTGTCAGTGTCTGAAACATAATATTAAATATTTGCTTGAAAATTTTAAAAAAGATGTTTCGTGTAAAATTAACTTTCAATGTACAAACTATTACTTTAATTACTGTTTTAATTCCAAATTCAGTCTTATCAGGAAATGTGGAATGAAAGATCATTAAAAAAAAATAGTTTACTAAACAAAAAACAGAGAGGGAAGATAAATGTTCTAGTAGAAATAGAACATATTAATAAGGGCCATGTAGGCATGTTATATTTAACAAAGACAATGGATTTTGTAAAAGGGAGAAAATTTTGTTAAATCTTATCGCTTCTTTTACTTCCCCACGTACTTTTGCTGAGTAACTCAGCTTATATTTATAGCCCATGAAGAAGTGGAAAACAAAATGAAGAGTAAATGATCTCAAAGGCTTTCTGGACCCGTAATTCTTTATATTTGCATTGCATATTTCTAACAGAAATAAGTCATGTTGGGGGAGCTGCAGTGTACTTCTGTTTACATAAGACCCAGTAACCTGTAGAGGTATCAGAGATTCAAAGACCAGTTATTCAAAGAGAAGAGAAAAAGAAGCAAAGAAATTAAGCATTATGACTTCAGCTTTCCCGGGGTTAAGATGAAGCATGAACTTTTGTGCCTTGAAAGGACACACAGGATGGCGTATCCCTTCATTCAGAGTCAAAGATAAGGAAACAGGAAACAAATAACCTATCTACTCCTTTACCACAAGTTATTATTATTTTTGCGTTTTTGTGTTCAAGGGTTATGTATCTCTGAACAGCCATGAAAAGGCTTCCTGGAAAACCAAAAACAAACAAAATGAATATGAGTCCTGACTCACATGGTTTTACTCTGCCAGGGAGAGCAGGGTCACAGACCCTGGCTGACACTGCGGTTGTAAGAGTAGACCCTGCGTTTCACTAAATCTTTCAATCCTGAGCTCACTTGCTGTCCCAGGGAAGCCATGCAGGATGAAGATGGATATATCACCCTAAATATTAAGCCTCAAAAACCGGCTATCTCCTCAGGTAAGACTGTTCAGCACCAGAAATTTGGAAATTAATTAGTGTAATGGGCCAATTGTGTTTTCTTTTCCTCCACTAGTGACCGTATGTTATTTATTTATTTATTTATTTATTTATTTATTTATTTTCCTGTTCTCTCTGAAGCATTTGCATAGTGCTGATATAGGCTCCAAGGGACAGATTTTAGCATACAAACAGCAGAGAGACAAGCAGAGGATATTATATTATGACTCCTAAAATTCAGTGATGGAGATACAGAGGCCAAGATAATAGAGGAAAGGAATGTATAAAAACTTCATTTGCTAAATGTCAGAGAAGGAGTATGACTTTCTAGCTGTTGCTTACTAAAGCACTTACTTATGTGGGTGGGCACACAAACACACAAAGACAGAAATATGAGACCTTAACATGTAAGGCCTATAGTTTGACTTAGGGAAAATCACCTGGGAGTGGAAAGAGTAAGACATGTTTTTTGAAATGACCAAGGGAACGTAGGTAAGAGCTTCCAATAACGTTGTTCATGGCACTTGAGAGATCCTGAGAAGACAAGGGCAGGGATGGCATCACTGTCTGTTCCTCATGCATTTATTATGTGCCTCCAGTTGACCGTGCTTCCTCTTCTTGGTGGCGTGCTATGGCTTTAATTCTGCTGTTCTTGTCCACGGGGATGGTTTGTGGACTGGTGACCATGGGGTTGATGTGTAAGTACCGATTCTTTGCCAGGTATTTGATCTGAGGAAGGTGCTACCTAAGGGTCCTGGTAACCGTCTTTTACTCTATTTGCCAGTACTTTAATCATCCTAGCCATAGCTACCAATCCAGTCTCAATACAGGAAAACTCTACACTTTCCCTCTGATTAAAAGTACCTCAATTTTTCTTTAGTTACAATTATATTCATAATTTAAAACTGTCTTTTAACTTTCTCTTAGGCATGGATTGAAACTGTATTTTATAACACTTTTTGCTCTGGTTCTAGCTTGGTTTTGAAACTCAGCCAACCCAAAATTTTCTCAATTTCATGAATAAATCCATGTCTCTGTTTGAATTTTGCTTGATCTATTCATTCGCTGTACTTAAAATATCCTCCTTCCTATTTTGTTTATTGAAATAGTATTTCACTTCCTGTGAATCTAAGCCTTACAATACTGTGTTGTAGTTTGTATAGTTACTGCTTTTATGTTCATTTCTTTTGGTAAGTTCAGAAGTTTTGCTTCATCCTTTTTTATTTCTGTAACTAAATGCTCTCTTAAATTAATTAATATTTTGGTATAATATGAAAAACAAAATAACCGAAGTCAGTCATTCACCTCTATAAAGTCTGCTTACAGCATGTATTTTAAAGAAATGTTGAAACACCTGTTTGGGGCATGTTACTAGTTCTTCATATTTATGATCACTTCTTTAAATAATTAACTTGTTCTTTTGGGTATGACTGAAATGTCTTACACATTTCTTATTTTCTTCTCCCGGTCCTCTTTGCCTTTATTCATTCCCAGCGCATCTAGTAAAACTTTTCATATATTGGCCGTTCTATTGAAGTGTAACCACCTTGATGCTCTGGAGCCCAAATTTTAATTTATCTAATTTTCACATCTAGCTGTCATGCAGCGGCATAACCTACAAGTTGAGAATGAAAATCTCTCCGGAAAGGTGCAAAAATTAGCGAAGAATTTCTGCCAACATATAATAAAACAATTAGAAGAAAACCAAAAGCGCAGCGCCAGTACGTGTGGTTTGGTAACATCCTCTCCCCAGCTCCGGGAGTGTTTCAGATCCAAACTGCAGGAAATTTGGCAGGAAACACTGGGGGGAGGGCTGGCAATGGAAGTCCCCCTGAGAAGGAAGAGGTCCTTACGCTTGGCGTCTCCTGCAGATCACAAATGCAGCCCCTGTGAAACAAACTGGAGATACCATGGAGATAGTTGCTATGGATTCTTCAAGCACAACTTGACCTGGGAAGAGAGTAAGCAGTTCTGCTTCAACTGGAATGCAAGTCTTGTGAAGACCGCCAGCAAGAACACCCTGGTGAGGAGACTCTCACATCAAATATTCCAGAAGAACAGAGAATAATCTTCAGTGTAACATTTAATCATTTTTACAATTTTTTTCTTATGTCTTTTAGTTTGTCTTAATCTAAGCAAGTCATCAATCTCAGTAAAAATATGGAGAACTAAAGTATTGAATCTAGAATGCCATAGTCAATCAACAAAATTAGCTTATTCCTTATTCCTGGGGGTTGAGGTGCACAGTGAGTCAGACAGGAGTCGGTCCTGAGCTGTGCATTATTCTGTGCTCCCTGGGGTCCTGCCTGGCTGCCCCAGCTGCTTCCTGCTCCTGGAAGCCCATACTCTTGGAGAAGATGTTTAGTTAAATTAACTAGCTACTCTTCCCACTGAGACAGAAAGGGAGAATGCCCTAAAATCTCAACTCCATTATAAAGAGATGAATTGGAAATGTAAACTATAGCCTGGACTTTACTACTCTAAGTGCATGGCAAGTTGAAGATTTGTAATTAAGAGAAGTAATATATCTTTAAGAAAAAAAAAAAATTGTGAGATTTCACTTGAAACTTAAGTCATGTCCTGTAGTAAATTTATGTAATAGGTACATGTTTTAAATGAAACCAAAGAATTAGCAGCAAGGGGTAGATGCTTCAGACTTTTACACTTTTGGGCCACCAAGATAGCTCAGTGGACTGAACGCCTGCTTAGGGAAGGGCAGGGATCAGGGTTTGATTCCCTACGCTACATGCCATGCTGGCCCTAACGCAGGCAAGCAAGTCATGGAGACCAGGTATGGTGGTGCATGCCTCTAATCCTAGTGCTGGGGAGGTTGAAAACAAGAGGATGACTGAGTCCGAACTACATACTGAGACCCTGTACCAAATATATACAAAAAGAAAAAAAGAAAGAAAGAAAAGAAATACAGTGACTTTCACCTATTACCTCCTGTGTACCGTCATTCTGAGCCTTTTATGTTGTCAAGAAGCTTGAGACATTTTTCATTGTATAAGACTAGATTCTTACCAATCATATTAGAAGACATAAAAGTATGGGAACATTTGAATTCCTTTCTGTTTAGCCATCTATCAATGAACTGATTGCATATGTGTTTATTTAACATTATATGGTACCTGTTCCACAGCATGGATGAATGTGATTAAGAAAATAATAATCCCCTGGGCTAGTTTGCTCAGGAGTCTAAGTGCCAATCTGGCAAGCACAAGGACCTAGGTTCAATCCCCAATACAGCATTCCATGCTGGTCACTGAAACCAGGAGTGGTGGCACATGCCTGTAATCCCAGTGCTGGTAAGGCTGTGACAGGGGGATTACTACTAATCCCAGCTGTGTAGCAAGACTCTGTAACAAATAAGTGAATAAATGAATAAATAAATAAATAAATAGTAATTCCTAACCCCCAGAGGTTCATATTTTAGTTGAAGCAATAGGAAATGAACAAAATAAATATATTTAGTAGATAGGATAATAGTAATTTCTAAATATAAAAAAATCAGGAATAATATTTGTATAATACAATTCAAATTGATACAGTCCTAAATGACTCACTAATACTAATATAGATCATAATCTAATATGTGTGCAACACCTCACTAAGTCATTATTTTTGTCATTACCAAAAGTTGTGATGGCATTCTGACCTTACACTTATTTATGTTTGCAATAGGACTACATCAAAGACAGGACTGTTTTCATTCGTTGGGTTGGATTATCCCGCCAGAATTCTGATAAGGTCTGGTTGTGGGAAGATGGATCCGCTCTCTCCAAAAATATGTAAGTCATTGGACACTTGGAATAGAAGGCACCACTGTAGAGTTAAGACTTTCTTTTCTTTCTTTCTTTCTTTTTTTTTTCTTTTGCATTTTAGGGAAGGGTCTACAGGATGTTCAGGGTCTCACTATTAAATCAGACTCATAGTGATCCGCCTGTTTACAGCCTCTCAAGAGCTGGGCTTACAGGCACGTGCCACCACTCCAAGTCTCAATTAGAGTATTAGCATGATCCAGGGGTCGGGCCAGCACGGTAGGCCTGGGGATCAAACCCCCAACTCCTGAGCCTGCCTGCAGGCACTTTAATCCACTGAGCTATTTGACCAGCCCCCAAGACCTTATTTTCTTGAGTGCAAGTTACTTAATGTCTATATGCTATTATGGGTGTACACACAACCACCAAGTAATTTATACCCAACTCCAAAGCAGGGAATGCTAATTAAACAATCTGGTTTTTGTTTGTTTGTTTGTATGTTTGTTTTTTACGGTAACAGGGATTGAACTCAGGACCCTGCGCTTACCAGGCAAGCACTTATTCTACTGAGTTATCTCCCCTGCCCTGCTTTTCTTTCATTCTTTGCCTCAGCTATGATTTGTCTTTACTCCCTGTTTTCCCCATCCATTTCTATGTCCAACTTTACCATTTAAACATTCTGTGTGTGTATTTGTTTGTGTGTGTGTGTGTGTGTGTGTGTAACTGTTTATACTCTGATCTATCTGACTCCCTTCCCATACTTTGAGAGCAAAATCGTCATTCTCCTTATTTTATAGTCCAAAGTTAGTATCTTAATCTTACTTTAATTCCTTGGACTTTTCCTTCTGTCTGTCCTATGGCTTTCTAAGAATCAGATGTACCATAGGTCACAAGACATTTCTAATATTTGTGGTGGATTGAGGCTCCACCTCCCACAGACAGGCAGAGCCCCACTGTGTTCAGAGGCAAGTTGTTTAAAATGTCTTCCAATCTCTAGGCTCAACACCTTTTGTTCACCCTATCAAAACCGCAGCCTCTCTCTAGGTAAATTTAAATCCATACCCAGAGCTTGTGCAATGTGATCATTGTGTAAATTACTAGTTGTAGTCCACAGATATTTATTACTTACTTTAGATAGGAGCCCAGGATGTCATAAGTATAAGCAAGCTGCCTACCAACCTTGGCCTTTGTGTTCTACCATTTGCTACCTCTTGTACAAGATGACAGGTATCTTTTAGATTTCAATTACCCTTTCAGGTACTGTGAAAGGGAGAGAAATTGTTCAATGAGAAGGAAAACTGAGATGAGGAAAGAAAAAGTGAAAGAAGGGAAAAAGATATATTTAGGTATATATGCACTATGCTTTGGTTAATTGTATTCTCAATTTTTGCTTGTCTTTGGAAAAGAGCAGTTAATGCTTAAATGTATTCTTTACTCTGATTCTTTTTCCTCTTTTGAATTTCTTGTAACTTCTTTGTTATTTTTTCATTAAATGAATCTTACTTGTCTATATCTAGTAATCTGACAACTAATTTGAAGATAGCATCATGTAATACAGCAATCATTATTAAATTCCTAATACTTTGTTTAGTGAAATCTTGTTGTCATTTCTAATGCCGTCTTTTTTCTACCAATATGTTGTATTCTTTAAAAAAAATATGGCAGGTAAAGTGGTTGGGCTCTCCCTATTCTTTTAAGAAATCAAACCTTTTATCTTTTCTTAAGAGTTCTGCACCTGTTGGTTTCCTCCTCAATGTTCCAATTCTGCAATTTCATGACTGCCTTCCTTCCCCTGAGAGTTCAGTCTTTGTTTAAGCATCACTTCTTCAGTGAGATTCACTTTAACTATCCAAACTCAATCACCCACCCTACAACCTACCCCTTTCCTGTCTATCCTATCTTTACTATTTGATTTCTACTCCCCTCCTTTCTTTATTTTTTTTCATTCTTTTATTTTTACTTATTTATTTAGTGTGTGTGTGTGTGTGTGTGTGTGTGTGTGTGTGTTACTGAGGATTGAACTCAGGACCTTGCATTTGCCAGGCGGGCACTGTGTTGCTGAGCTGTCTCCCCGGCTCTACTTCATTCTTATCCATCTGAGTTTTTCTTGTCTATTTATTTATACACTCCTACTAATTAACCTCCGTTGAATCATTAAATTCCCCAGCATTAGGTTCCCTTCCCCTTCCTCTCTCATTCTGTCTCTCACTGACATGCTCTTTTTCTCTTTCTCTTTCTCTTTCTCTTTCTCTTCTCTTTCTCTCTTTCTTTCTTTCTTTCTTTCTTTCTTTCTTTCTTTCTTTCGTTCTTTCTTCCTTCCGTCCATCCGTCCTTCCTTCCTTCCTTCCTTCTTCCTTTTGTCTTTCTTTCTCTTTACCTTTGTCTTTCTGTTTATTGTTGTACTGGGAATTGAACTCAGGGCTTTTGTACAATCCCCAGAACAATTTTTTTTTCCTGCTCTTTATTCTGTGTTAATGCCTTGCCTGGTCACTAAGTTGCACAGGCGGGGCTCAAACTTGTGAACCTCCTACCTCAGCCTTCCAGAATGGAACCTTACCTTTCTTTTGTACTCTGTTCTTAGCAAACTGAACAACTTTGGCAAATAGTTGGCATGTTGTAAACATTTGACAATTAAACCTTTAACTCATTTGTATCATTTACAAAGGGGTTTGTCATTCACAAATGGTCTTATAAATAATACAAACAAGTTAAATAACAATTACATGGTAGCATACTATTTTTTTTCATGTATTTAGTACAGGGTCTACAGGGTCTCATTATGCAGCCTGGACTCGTAGTGATCCTCCTGTTTTCAGCCTCCCAAACACTAGGATTACAGGCGCACACCACCACACCCAGTCTCAGTTGCGTCTCAGCACACCCCAGGGGTGGAGCAGGCATAGCACACCAGAGATCCAACCCTGGTCCCTGAGTCTGCCTAAGCAGGCATGTCAATCCACTGGGCTATCTGGCCAGCCCCAGCATACTATTTTAGATCTACTACCCAGTAATGTCAGTTCTCAATTTTAAAGCATTTAAAGAGCTATGTCTTTCCTGACCTTATCCCCATGCTGTGCGGCTGCCATTCCTACAAGAATCTCCCTTCTTCTCTCCATTCACCCCACCCCACTCTCCTTCATTGGTGCAGTAAAGTCTGATCTTGTAGCCACAGCCTCTGCCATCCTGCCACAGCGGTGCCCCTTTCTTCCTCTGGACCCCCATTAGAGCTCGCCTTCACCTGCTCCTTGATTCTATGGTCCAGCACTCGGCTAAACTGTAACAGGTCTTTTTGTCTGTGCATTCTTTATATTCCAGACAGACTGGAAGGCTCTCGATAGCAAAAATGTTCTTCACTCACAGTTTGGCTGCTGTTCATACAGTTTTCAAAGGAAGGCATTCTCCCTTTTTATTCACAGGCTTGACTTCATTGGCGATGGAAGAGAAAATATGGACTGTGCTTACTTTCATAAAGGGAAGATCTACCCTACCTTCTGTGAGAACAGACATTTTTTAATATGTGAAAAGAAGGCTGGTATGATGAATGTGGACATACTACTGTGATGCAAACAAAGAAAGACAAGATATAAGACAAGTGTTTATATAATAAAATTTCCATGTGAAAGAACCCAAACCACAATTTGCTTATTTTTTCTTCATCTCCTTGGAGTCATTTTTTTATACTATCTTTGCTTCCATCACTACTTACCTCATCCCTGCTTTGCACATTTAGAAGGAAACATGTGAATTGATTATTCACCTTTCAATTGATATGTTTTCATTAATTTTGTCTTCTCTTATATTTCTAATTATTATATTTGAACATACTGTAATTCCTTGTATCTTCAGATATATGCACAGAAAATTAAAATGAGGACAAGAAAAGATTGGGTTTAAGTGATTTAAATTGTAGAAAATACCAAATTTATTTTTTTTATGTATTTAGCAGAGGGTCTACAGGGTCTCACTGCACAGATCAGACTCCTAGTGATTTTCCTGTTTTCAGCCTCCCAAGTGCTGGGAGTATAGGTACATGCCGCCACGCCCAGTCTTAATCACAGTCTCAGCACGCCCCGGGGGCAGGACCAGCACAGCATGTGGGGATCCAAGCCAAGTTCCAGCACCTGCCTAATCAGGTGCGTTAATCCGCTGAGCTATCTGGCCAGTCCAATATCTAAATTTAGAAGGCATTATAAAGTAGAAATAATTCTAAATGTGGAATATGAGGAGTAATTAGAATGCATGCTTGATTAACTAATGTACAGCCAGGAACCATTCATGTGACCTCTTTAACTTTCATTTTCTAATATTTAAAGTAGGGCTTCAGAGTATTACCTACATCAGAAATTCCATGAAGGGGCTGGGGAGATGGCTCAGTAGAATAAGTGCTTCACTGGCAAACACGAGGGCCTGAGTTCAATCTCCAGTTCCACCAAAAAAAAAACCCAGAAACTTCATGAAGCCAAATGCCATGACTCCCCTGTTCTCCATTCTATTACCAGCATAAAGCACAGGTGCTGATCCTCAGGAAATGGAAAAAATACGTGCTTTCCACTATGAGTGATAGTTTATTAAATATACATTAATCAGTAAAACACTGAACCAATAGAGTTATTAGCCCAAAACGATCTCTGATCAGACTCAACAGTGGTAGTTTTCTGTATAAAAGAAAGAAAATCAAGTTTGCAAGAAACTTCATGGGGTTTGTAAAGATGAGTAAATGCTTCTTCTTCTTCTTCTTCTTCTTCTTCTTCTTCTTCTTCTTCTTCTTCTTCTTCTTTATTTTTGGGAAGGGTCTACAGGGTGTTCAGGATCTCACTACTAGATCAGACTCGTAGTGATCTGCTTGTTTACAATCTCTCAAGAGCTGGGATAACAGGCACGCGCCTCAGCACCTATTCTCAATTGCTGTCTCAGAGTACCCCAGGGGGGCACAGCAGGCCCAAGAATCGAATCCCTGGCCGCTGCATCTGTTTGCAGGCACTTTAATCATCTGAGCTATTTGACTGGCCAATAAACACTTCTTTCTTTATTATATTGAGAAAAAAATATCAATGAGATTGTTTCAAAGATGATTAATAGGACTTTTTCAATAATTAATACATTGTACATTGTTATCTTCCTAGTGGCTATCCATAGTACAAGAAGCAGACAGGATATCCTGTCCAAACACTATTACTACAAATCTTTCTTCTCATTGAATTAAGAGAAAGTAGCTGTATATTTATCCTAACTATTCTGTATATACAAATACAAAATGGTCCTTCCTTTGTATCATCTTTTTTTGTTTAGTCCTGTCAGAGATGGAAATTCTATTGGCATCTAAATACTATAGGTGCTTGAATTAAGCAAAACAATTCACACAGTCCAGCATTCCAAAATAGTAATGGGTTATCCTCAGAAGTTGTTGACTAGAGCCTTTTACAGCTCAGCATATTAATATGGCTTTACTTTATTTACCTCACTTTTATACTTTTCTGCTAGATGGTTAAGATCAAGACAAAGCAAGACCTATATAACAAGAAATGTAAGTTTTGTATCTGATAAGGTCAGTCAAGTCCCCTCAGGATTTATCCTGTAACCCTGTACCGCACTTTGTAGATCCTTTGTCAGTGTCAGCCATGTGGATGAGTCACAGCCATTGCTTGACCAATTTGCTCTCTGTGAAAGCCTGAGAGAAAGTTTTCTCTCCATGTGACTCTCCTTAGGCATACTCTACGTCATCGATCACATTCCTCTATGGCTCCATAATCTCCTTGATCAGAAAATTTGGGGCACAACTGAGTTACATGATGTTACGCTGCAGGTTCTTCTATGTCCTGAGTCTTCACTGACCTTGAAAAGCTAGAGCCAAAATGTTGGTTGACCTTGCAGCCCTTCCTTTTCTCCAATTTTTGATCTGCAAACTTAACTTGTTAACCCTCCAGAAGAGAAGCTTATTATTACCCTGCAACATATGCAGTTCGGTTTACCCTAACTATCTGTCTAAATGTCAAACATTGAAGGCATAACATGGAACAGGTATTTTCCATCAAGTACTGATGTGTTGAACTTTAAGTCCTTACAGAATATGAAGAAAAAAATTTAAAAAATAGGAATAAGCACATATTTTTACACAGAAATTTAGAAATCTAACCATATACAGCATTGTAGCAGGACAGTCTTGTGACTATTTTTTTCTTTTTCTTGTACCTTTTTTTCATTTATTACCCATTAAAAAAAAAACAACTTTTACTTCTGAGACAATATGGTAATAATTGGCATGTCATGACAAGAATACAATGGAGTATTACTCAGCTATAAAGAATGATAAACTTGAAGCATTTATGTTTAAGTGGATGCCTCTTGAAGATATACTCACAAGTAAAATAAACCAGAGCACATTTGTAAATATCATAGAGTCTCCCTAGTATAAGAACTCAAAATAAGAAACAAAAATAGTAAGGCATAGCACAATTAAAAGGAAAGTAAGAACTTGAGGATTGGACAACCAGTAAACACTTCTTAACAAGAGACCAAAAGGCAGAAGAGCACATAAATGTTTTATCTAGTTTTTTGTTTTGTTTTGTTTTGTTTTGTTTTGTTTTGTTTTGTTTTTCCTGGCACTTCTATGTTTGACTTGTGCTGAATAACCCAGGAGATATTTACGGAGCATGGAGAGACAGCTTGCATAGGATAACAGGCAAAAAGTGTGCTTGTGTCCTGCAGTTTCTCTTGTTGAACTGGCAACAGTATGGTTGAGGACTGTGGCTCCCAGCCATGTCTACTGAGGTGTCATCTAAGCAGGATGATCTACACACACAAACACTCATGGTGTAGTCAGACAGATGAAACATGGAGACCTGCGGTTGTTTGGTTGTTTGATTGCTTGTCTTTGAGACCTGTGTTTTTAACAAGCATCTTTCTCTGGTTCTTACAAAAGTAGACTTCAATATATTTCAAGAAGCTTTGCTTTGGACTCTTCTTCCGATGCAAGTTTGTGGTAGCTAACTTAGCTTCTTCAAAATGCATATTTCTTCATCTATGAAATGATATTAATATAATTACTGGTAGAATAATTGTGAGGGTATCACATAATAGTGCATGCTGTAAGCACTGGACTTTTGTCACTGCTACTTTAATACCTTTGTGCGCTAATGCTTGAACCCATTAAACCTTACCCCATTTAAAGTGTCAATAAACAAGCACTTCGGAGAAGCTAAAGATAAATAGCAGGAATTCCTCAGATTCTCTTTGCCACTTCAAGAGATATTGGCGTTGGAAGAATTTCTCTTTCTCTCTCTCTCTCTTCCTTCCTTCCTTCCTTCCCTCCTTCCTTCCTTCCTTCCTTTCTTCCTTCCTTTCTTTCACTGCTGGATATTAAACCCAGGGAATGTCATATCTCACTTTTAATTTATTTTTACTTAGATAAGCTAAGGGTTGGAACTCATAATTCAGAAAACTGTCCTCAAATCAACCATATCTCTGTTTCATCTCTTGAGAGTGGAAAATGATACATTTACATGCCACGATGGCACCCACAAGTTTAGAAGAAGAATATATCAGTTCATGGTCAAAACACAAATAAAATGTATAAATCAATTAAACTGTGCCTACAATGATTCTTTCTGTTTTTCTAATTTTACTTTGAAGAGTAAAAACAGAAGCAAAAACAAATAGAAAGGAAAAAGACAGAAACAGGGTAACATACAACAATGTATATGTTATAGATTTTCAAAACAGGAATGTCTAATTAACAGTCGTTGCTAGAGTATCTGTTTTTAACAATCAAGTCTACTGCTCAGATTAGCAGATAGTTATGCTGTTAGACAAATGATTGAATATTAATGCTTATTGTCAAGGAATCTTAATTTTTTTCCATGTCTTTTTTTTTAAATTTTTTTAAAGAGAGTCTTCTGATACTTGTACCTAAAACATTTTTTATATGGGATCAGAATGAAAAAAAAAAAAAAGAATGATACACATTTATAGCAAAAATTCTGTGATTAGATAACTCAGTTTCAAATACTAAACGTGAAACCTGATCACTGAACTTCAGCAAAATTTGACATCTCTGTGCCTCAATTTTAATTATGTTACACTATGTTAATAGAAACACTTATTTCCTAAAGATGTTATGAAAGTCAAAATAATTCACGTGATAACTCTTTCAAATAGTAATCAGAAAGGAATAAATAATAAATAACAGTGTGATTTAAAACATCAAAAGTAATGTAAGTAATATGTTAGTCTTTTATGGAGAAAAACCAATTCCCCTCAACAAGTTTGTCAGAGAACATACTGCATTGGGAAAAATCAGATCTTTCTGAATGTAGCTTTTCATGTTGAAACCAGAAATAAATAACAACTAGTTGAACTTTTTGTTCCTGGCATTACTCATTCCGTGGTTATGAAGATAACAGCTTCTTCCTCTTTTTTTTTTTTTTTTTTTTTTCTCAACACACAACTTAGCCTTGGAAAAGGCTACAGGAAAACCTGATTTGTAAGACTTCATTCTCAGAGTGCAGGAACATGAAATATTTGTGAAACATGCTGGACATTTTTCATTTGTCTCTGCTGACCCTTTCATGGGAAGCTAAACCCAAATGGCCACATTATCTTGGTTAACTTGGCTTTTGGTTTGCCGTAAATCCAAGCAATGGTAGGCCCTGCCAATAAGTGAAGAGGATGGTTCTTCTTACAGTGAGTATTTGGTAAAAAATGAATATTTTATATCATATCCTTTCTGCTCAGGTCACCAAATTCAAATAAATACACTCTACTTAATCCTTTAAACATCAGGCAGATAGCAATTTGTCAGTGCACATTTCACCACTCCCTTTTATTGCATTTCATATTTTTTTTTAAAACTTGACAAGCAGTCCTTTTGACGAATTTCCTTCGGTCACCTCTCAAGAGGGCTTTTGGTTTGCTTCTGAGAACCTGACTGTTACTCGGCACAATTACTGATTCAGTTTGACGGTGAAACAAAAATAACTTTGCAATTTTTCTGCTTGTAGGGCTTGCGTGCTCTACATTCCTGACACACTGCTTTTAGTTATAAGGATAAATGGCCCAAAGTTGTTGATGTGCAAAGGATCTCTTTTCTCATTATCGACAGTGTACTCACAAGATGTGACAGAAATAGTCCTCTACCCATTAAATAATTCGTGCCTCACGTCTTGTTACACTACTCAGACCAAAATGACATTTTTCAAGTCCAACCTTTACACCCACATGTGGACCTGCCATTGTGATATATTTTACTGACAGATTTTTAGCCTTCAAGTAGCAAGTATGTGTCATGCATACATACCCACTCCCTGTAAAGAACATAGCCACTATTGTACTACATACATATGCTAATAAAAAGTAAACATGGAGAGGAAAAAAACAAAGTAAATGGATTTCTCACCTTTTCTTTCCGTTTGCACTGGATAGAACTAAAGATTTCCAATGACTCCCAACGTAGAGGAAGGCCAGGTCTGCTTTGGATGAAAGCTTACGTACCAACCAAGATTGCTGGAGTCAAAATGCTATGTAAGTGAGTTTATAGTGTTAACTGATATGTTGAGGTTTACTAAGTACAGAACTTCGCATGATCCTCATTAATACAGAGCATATAAAATTTAGTAATAAAATCCCTTCCTAGCTTTCCTTATATCCTAATTAAAAATATAGAGTAAATAAATTTATTTAGTAATAAAAATCCCTTCCTAGCTTTCTTGTTTAAGAATGTGAATCAATCAACTCTGTGGTTTGCCCAGGATGAGCTGCTTCGCTTCCTCATTCTCTAAGTTGCATGTCTTTGCTTGGCCAACAGATGTGCCTGTTTTGCATGTGCATCCTTTTCATTTTAATGCTAAACCAGTGCTCAGGCCTTGAAATCGGCTACATTTTAGAAAGAAGAGCAATAAAATGTTTTATCACTGAGTATTTTGAGTGTCTTCTCCTTTAGCAAATTGTGCTCTGGCTTAAACTTTTAAAAATCACTTTCTGAAACTTCCACTTTCTGGATGAAAGTACATCGCTTCTGCCGATGGGGTCCATACGCAGCTTCCCACTACTGTGAAAAAGTAGCCAATTTCAGTTCTTTCACGAACTTTTCAACTTCTTCAACCTGTCCCAACCTCATGACAAGCTTCTTTATCTACTAAAACATCTCAGCTATGCACGAGGAAGAGTTATATACGTCTCTTCAGTGGGACAACCCGACATCAGATTCTTCTCAGAAATGTTTTCCTTCCACCAAAATTTCAGGTATCCAGTTTTAATTATTAGCTTATGTTTTGTTTCTTGTACAGTGAATCCAAGATGTTCCTTCTTCTCTGAATAACAGACTTAAAATATTGCAATATGATTGCCTGTTACAATAAAGGAAACAAAGTAGAAGTGGAAGTAAGGATGGAAAAGGGAAAGTGGGGCCAACTGGTGAAATAGGTGCTTCTCTTTCTTTTAAAGACAGTTGCTAGATTGGAAAATAATCAAAATAAATGAATAATGTAACAATTTTACAGTTTACATAGAATCTGTCAATTATCTGATAAGTACTCAGAAATAAAGAAAAAACAGGTTAAAACATAAAATCTCATTGTTCTGGAGCTGTTATCTATAGTTATGCCTGCATTGTTTAATGTCCATGTTTATACAGTTATGAGCATGAATACCGTGTATATCAATCATGTTCAAGTGAAACTGAAAAGATTTACAAGAAAGGATCCAGCACTCTTGTATTCAAAAGTTCAGTATCACTACAGGGTGATAATCCTTAAAAATTGTTCAAAAAAGTACATACAATGAGTTAATGGTATTGTGACACTCTGCCTATGTCCCAATCAGAGAAACATGTTGTTAAATCTGTTTTATTTTATATTTTCTTCATCAGATGCATCCTAACCTATAAATCTCATCAGAGTTTAAGCAAAGATTCTCTTATGCTGTTACAAATTGCAGCCTTGAACAATTCTTCAGTCGGAACCCTCAATGTTAAGGTCTTCTTTTCCTCAGTGTTATGGTATACCCACCCTCACCTGCCATGCCCTTTCCCCACCAAATTTCAGGGTTCTTATTGCATTTTTAGGAACCTGGTGTGCTGTGATGCTGATTTTCTGCATGGGCTTATTAGCAACGTCTATTTTCTTGGGAATCAAGGGTAAGTACAAAGGTATATCTTCAAAATAAATATTTATATGTGTTATGAAGGACACATAGTTGTACATGTACTTTTCCCTGTGCCATTACACATATAAAACCAGAATTTCAGAAATGGGCATGGTGGCACAGCCTGTAATCCCAGCACTCGGGAGGTTGAGACAGGTGGATTGCCGTGAGTTCAAGACCAGCCTGGAGGCTACCAAAAAATGAGCACCAGGCTGGCCTGAACTACACAGAGAGAACCTGTCTCAAAAAAAAAGACTTCAGAATTTATAAGTACATAAAACATAAATTAAGAGCTACCTGATTTCATCTAAATAATATAAAAAGGCTTCCCAATTTACATTATAAAATATTTATTTGATTTATCTCTCAGCACTTGATAACTTGCAATAAGAAATGACATGTTTTTAAACTCAAATCTAATATTATAGGTCATAAGTCTTTGGGAAAAACAATGCAATTTTTTTTCTTCATTTCCTTTTTGCCTGCATACTTAGTTAGGGCTTTCTGTGTGTTAAGAAAGTGCTTTGTCACTCACCTATATCATGACCCCATTAATTTTGTTCTGATTCAATTTGTAAGTCTTGTCAGTAGGCCAAAGCATGAACTTTAAAAGGTCTCAGAATATGCTCTTCTGGGGCTGGAAAGATAGCTCAGTGGACTAAGTGCCTGCTTTGGCAAGCACAGGAATGAGTGTTCGATCCTCAGTCCCACATGCTGTGCCAGCCCTGCCCCCAGGTGCACTGAGCCTGCAACCAAGTCTGGGCATGGTGGCGCACACCTGTAATCGCAACACTGGGGAGCCTGAAAGCAGGAGGATCACTACAAGTCTGAGCTGCATAGTGAGACCCTGTACCAAATACATAAATTTAAAAAATAAAAACAATATAGTTTTCTGTTTTTAATGTATGCTTTTTCTAAACATGACATTTTTGGGTTACCTTAATGTATTTCATTTTCCACTAGCCATGGTAAAAATGTAAATGTTTAGAGCAATCCCAAGAGCTTTGTTTGGGTCATATTTATATGCTTTATTCCACTTTTACATTTATACTGCTTTATTCCACTTAGTACAAATTGCAGACAATTGCCATGTCTGAGAAGTAAACATAATGTACATTTACTTTGATTTGAACATTATAAATATATATATATATATATTATTTATGTTCTTAATTAAAAGTCAAACTAGAAATAAAAATAAAGAAGAGACTTGTTTTATATTTTGTTATACTTTTCTTTGTTTTAGCATTTTGTCAAAAAATGTTATTTTCATTTTCAAGTTGTATATATTTACTAGCATTCTATTAACATATATATCATTAAAGTATGTTTTCAAAGTAGATTATGAAGAAAAAATGTTATATTCAATTATTTTCATGAAAACTTCCATTGTAAAAAAAAATTACAGTATCAAAATGTATATTTAAATGATACATTTATATATGTGGAATGTATATACATATACTTTTTTTAAATGTCAGGACATGTTTCAGACAAATGATAATGAATGAAAACCATACCTTTCTATTTAAAAACATGATAAGTCAGAATTATTTTATATAGTATGAAAACAACAAATATATATAGATACATATATATATATGTATATATATGGTTGTTAAGTATATAGAAGCATGCAAGGCATTAATTTAAAGAAATCTTTTAGAATAATTGTGACTGACATATGGATGTGGTTAATGTGGTTAATACAACATTTAGACTAAATAGACTAAACAATCATTTGTAAAAACCACTCTTTTGTAAAAACTACATGTCAAATAGATGTACATATGCATATATTTAATGAATATATGTAAACAGGGATTTCAGTGGATTCAACTGAGTAGTAATGATCAGTGCAGTGATTCACTGATTCATGAACATTTCTATTTGGGAACAATTTGGTTCCCAACAAAAATGTTTTACAGGGCCAGGGAGATGGCTAAGTAGAATAAGCACTTCTCTGGCAAGTGCAAGGGCCTGAGTTCAATCCCTCGTTCTGCCAAAAAAAAAAAAAAATGTTTTACAAAATTTTGTTTTTGTTTGCAAATTCTGCATTGGGTGACAACCACTGCCAACCACCGCAACGCAGCCCCTGCCCTCTGTATGCATACACACCAAGGTAGCCATAGTTCCAAGAGCTGTGGGACAAAACAAGTCCATGAACTGAGGTCCCGCTGTACTTGAAGGACAATTTTCAAGTTAACTAGACTTAACTTTCTTATTATTTTGCCTTTCCAGTTCTTCTATCGTATTACTTATGCCATTTTTAAAAAATAAACTCTTAGTTGACAGAGTGACTTGTTCCTATAATCCCAGCTATGTGGGAGACTGAGGCAGGACTGCAAGTTGGAAGTCAAACTGAGCAATTTAGCAAGATATTGTCTCAAAGTAAAATAAGATAAAATGGGCTGGGAGTGTAGTATATGGGAAAGCACTTGCCTAGTATGTGTGTGGTAAAGCCCCTACACACACACACACACACACACACACACACACACACACACACCCCTCTATAATAATGCAAAATATTTTCTAAAACATCAGGAAATTTGTCAAGTGTTTTTACTATTTGCTCCATTTGTATTTTTCTAATTCACCAATTAGATACAACGTGTGGTATCATAAAATAATTGTGTCTGTTATGTTTCTACAAGTAATTACATTGCTTAGTTTTTCTCCTTTATTGTAAATTGCTTACGACTTCCTCAGGTAAAGTATTTTGCTTCTTACTTAGGATGAATCTCCAAAGAGAAGTGTTATTTCCCTGTCTCCAGTTTTGTTACAGTTTCATACAGAACTACCTTTCAGAGAATAAAGATTAAAACAACAATACTTTCTAAAGAAAACAGTTACATCAAAATTTAAATATCTTAGGGCTGGGGAGATAGCTCAGCACTATAAGAACCTCCCTGGCAAGCACAAGGACCCAGGTTTGATCTCCAATACCACATGCTGTGCTGGCCCTGCGTCAAGCAGGCCAATGAAATCTGGAGTGGAGGCACACATCTGTAATCCCAGCACTAGGGAGGCTGAGATAGGAGGATCACTACAAGTCAAGCTATGTAGCAAGATCCTTTACCAAATAAATAAATAAATAAATAAATAAATAAATATTTTATAAACACTTTAAACTATATTTAAGGTTCTTAAAATGAAGATTATTATATTTTAATCTCTAAATGTTCAGTACTAGTAACAAGATGAGATTGATAATCTGATTTTACTAGTCTGTATAGTTTTGAACCTTTGCTAAGGAAAGAAAGAATAATCTCATCTGCTGACAAACTCTAGACAAAGTATTCACATGTGCTTTCTCTAGTTTGTGATTCCGAGTCCAATGTTGAGTCAATCAGAAGATGTCAAAATAACTAAATGTTTAACTATTCACTTGGAGCTGACCAGAAGTGGAGAAAGAGCAAAGGATTAAGATAAAAGGCTTTTTTTGGACACATAAATTATATTTGTCCCTTCCATGACAATATTCATTATGAAGAGCAGAACCGAAGAGTGGGGGCCTGGGAGATGGCTCAATGGAATAAGTGCATCCCTGGCAAGCTCAAGGGCCTGAGTTCAATCCCTAGTTCTGCAAAAAAAAAAAAAAGAAAGAAAAGAAAAGAAGCAAAGTGTGTCTATGTCTCCCTTTAAGGAGAATTATCTTGATTTTATGTGAACCAATATTAACTAATCCTCATTTCACTTACACTTCTCTAATAATCCAATAACATACAAGTCAACATGAGGAGAGTGGAGCTGGCGCCTGCAGAGGTGATGCACAGGCTCGGCAGATCTCCCCTGAGTTCCTCTTTAAACCTTGGTTACCTCCCTCTTCTGGCTAGAAAAAAAAAAATCATTTTATAGTTTTGCCTTTATTTTCCTGTTCCTCTAAGGGAACTGACTTGTACTTCTTATGATAAGGCAGAATGCCCAATACAGTCATTCCATTTGCTAATTAATTGATGCCATTCTCCCTTCCTGTATAATACGTGTATTTTCTACAACCTATTCATATTTTTATAACTTATTTATATTTTATATAATTCTGCATTAAGCAACTTCTGCATGGTAAGCAGAGACGGCACAACTTTTCAACCCAGAATACAAATACCCAACAATGTGTGCTGTTGTAAGCATACAACAATCAGCTGTACTTTTATATGTTAGCAATGGGCACCAAAAGTACAGTGACATTTATGTATGTCCAAAATTGAAATACATGGCATAAATCTAACAAAATACGTAGGCTAGTCATATACTGAAAACAACATAATGCTTTAAAAGAAATCAAAGATCTGAATAAGGAAAGTGATATGCCATGTTTGTGAATAGCGAACACTAACATGAGAAAGACATCAGCCTTCCTAAAATTAATATATTAAAAAAATCTTCCTTATTCAATGGTTGGTGGACATTGGGCTCTTTCCAAGATTTACAAACTGTACCACTATAAACATAGGTGTGGACATATCACTCTGCTATGATGCTTTTAATTCTTTCAGGAAGATGACAACTGTTATGGTTTGTGTCTAGTTGTCCCCCCAAAGCCTCATGCAGTTATGGGGTGGACTTCTAGAGTTTGTGATTAACTCATGATCCACTGGGATTATGGGTGTGAGTGGTGCTGGGATTATGGGTGTGGGTACTACTCCCAGCCTGGAAGATTTTTTTAATATATTAATTTTAGGACAGCCTGAATGCAACATATAGGTGATGGACTTGTTCTCTGTAGCCTTTGCTGCTGCTACTTCTCCATTTTGCTCTCTTGCTCTTTGCTGTCACCATGGCACTATCTGCCTTGTGCCACTGTGCCTTGGACCCAGCCGAGTACGGACTGAGACCTCCAGTAACTGTGAGCTAAATAAACCTTTCCTTCCTTCATTTTTGAGTGTCCAATATTTGTCCCAGAAATGAGAAAAGAATAACTGAGTCACGTCTAAGCACCTTCCTGGCAAGCACAAGGATCCAAATTTGATCCCCGGAACCTCATGCCATGCCTTCCACTGAAACAAGGGGTGGTGTGGCACACCTGTAATCCCAGAACTGGGGAGGCTGAGAGAGGAAGATCACTGTGAATCCCAGCTGCATTGCAAGACCTTGCATCCAACTAATAAATAAATACTTTTTTTAAAATGTACTTCCACCAGTGTAACATGTGTTGAAGCTGAGATTCTTTATGCACTCATTTTTGCAACACAGCGCGCCCTCACTTATTGCAGAGGTTATGTTCCAGCGACCCCCGCGATAAGTGAAAATTGGCGGCATAGCCACGTTGTTTCAGTATTTGTATATACTTTAAGGCTTTATAAACCCTTCCCACACTCTTGTAAACCTTTCCCCCACTTTTAAAAATACTTCTAATGTTCTTAACCATTTTCTAAACTTGTAAACCTACATAATTTTAACAACACAAGTGTACTGTACAGTACCGCAAAATCCTGCCACATAGTGAAAACCCCCACAATAATTTAGGGTTTTTTTTTTGTTTTGTTTTTTTTTTTGAAAACTGGCAAAACAGTGAGTCCACGAAGGTCGAAGTGCGAGAGACTACTCTGCAGAAACATTACAAATAACCAAAAAAAAACCCAGGAACATTCTGTAGAAAATTATGATACAGCACCACAGTGGAATTTTACATGATTATAAGGAAAGAATGGCAGAAAGTCTTGTATGTACTGATACTGAAATAGGACCAAAATTTATTTAAGGTAATAAGAGATACAGCACTACATGTACACATTTGTGTAAAGGCATGAGAGAGAACTCCAGATTCATTAATTTGTAAACTAAAATTATCTTTGGAAAAAATTTTAAAAATTGTTAAACCTCTTTTCTCTATGGGAAAGAAACTAGATAAATAAAGTGGGATGTCAGGGCCTGCAAGATAGCTCAGCAGACTAAGATGTCTGTTTAGGCAAGCTTAGCAAGCACAGGGACCACAGTTTGGTCCCAAGCATGCCGGATCACATGCCGCGCCAGCCCCACCTCCAGGGCACGCTGAGCCGGCCACAGAGTCGGGACACAGTGGTGCACTCCTCTAATCCCAGCTCTGGGGAAATTGAAAGCAGGAGGATCACTATAAGTCTGAGCTGTGTAGTGAGGCCCTGAAACAACCAACTACATTTTCTTAAAAAGGGATGGCAAGTAGGCTTTTTGCCCTATATTATTTGTATCACTTGATTCATAGAGCAGACGTTAAATAAAAATTTAAGTAATATAAGTTAAAGTCTCAAAGATAATCAGTATCCTATAGTTTTCCTTAGTCTGTGTTGTAGGATTATCTTCCTATGAAATTTCAGCATTTTCTGTAGAAGAATGTGATTGTCTTTAGTGTTCCAGGCATCTGCTACCATAATGAAGCAGGAAGAAAAACTCATCCAGCAAGACAGAGAGTTGTCAAACTTTACACAATGGAAGAAAACTCCTGACCTTCAGAGGAAATATCAGCAAACCTCAATGCCAAACTATTGCATTTCAGGTAATTACTAGGCATCAGTCCCAGCATGGAGATCTAAACACACGCACCAGTTTCTCTCAAGAAGCGTCATCACCCATTGTGTTATCTGAAAAATTTTTACTCAGGGTTTTCTAGCAGGGAGAGATAATGTCGATTATTTTTCAGTCATTCACATATTTTATTTTTAATATTTTATTTATTTGTTTATTTGGCACAGTGTCTCACTACACAGCTCAGACGCATAGTGATCCTCCTGTCTCAGCCTCCCCACCGTTGGGATAACAGGCCTGCGCATGGCGTGCCTGGAGTTTTGGAGCCACGCACGGCATGTGGGACTGGGGATCAAACTCGGGCCCTTGTGCTTGCCAGAAAGGTGCTTAAACTGCTGAGCTATCTCACCAGCCCCTTTCTCATATTTTAAATAGTGTATAGAAAACACTGAAGTTCCAAAAAAATACATCAAAGCAAAATACAATGAAAATACCAAGGTGAGATATGTGTTATTAGCAAATGAAATTTAAAAAGTAATATTTTATTTTATCCAGTCCTCCAACTGGAAGTGTATCTTTAATACTAGGTCCAAATTCCCTAGTATATTTAATCTAGATATTAGTTTAAGTTCAAGTTTAGATAATGTTTGAGCAGAAAGATGATGGTGAATTTAGAGCAAAATCATGCAATATTATGCAATACCATGTGTAATATTTATCTCTTCTAAAGCGTCTATGAAGTTAGAATTCTAAGATTAAAATTCCCCAATCTTATCTTTACAACATTTTAGGCCTAAAATAGTATTTCAGTCTTTGATATTTTTTGTCAAGTTGTCCATGGTTACTTAATGAACATTCAATAGTATTTACACATGAGTATTAAAATCCCTGTAATGGATCATTTGAATAATGTAAAGGAGAAATGAAAAAGTCTACCAAGGTCTGGGAAGATAGCTCAACTGTCTAAGTGCCTGTGTGACAAGCTCAAGGACCCAAGTTTGATGCCTGGCACAACATGCTGTGCAGGTCCGACAACCCCAGGAGCTCAGTGCTGACCCTGAAACCATGCATAGGTGGCGCATGCCTATAATCCCAGCTCTGAAGAGGCAGAGACCGGAAGATCACTACAAGTCTGAAATGTGTAGTGAGAACCTGTAGCAAAAAAAATAAATTAAAATTAAAAAAAGAGAAAAGATCTACCACAGTTACTTCTGACAGAAAATTGATCAAGTACTTGTTTTAAGAATCACTGTATGCTCAACAGTGTTTATAAATAGAACAGGCTGCTGTGTGCATGAGGTAGAGCCCCTTCAGAACCATCAACCTGGAGTCCCAAGACAGTATCCATTTTGGAGACCTAGGAATCCAATGTGTGCTCAAACTTCACGAACACCATTTTTAGTGCTATTTATGCTATAGCTTTCACAATGTTCAGGTTATTGATTAACATGGATTCCAAACAAGGAATACTGAAGAGCCTTCAACCTCTCAACATCTGGGCAGCAAAAATTATGAATGAATAATCTCACCCTAAACAGAGGGCCACGTCCTGAAAGCTACAGCTTTGGAACTTTCAGTTTATTTCCCTGCCTGAACTGGGCCACAACCTTGTGGTCAGGTCTGGCTCTTTTGTGCCCTTTTGTCTTTAGCCTTCTTTGTTTTACCTTTAAAGCAAGTTCCTTAAAACTTATTGCATATTAATACATTTCAATTGTATCAAAGTCCAAAATAAGCATGCTGCTCACTTACATTCTTTGAAATTATTTGATGTTTATGAGTACATGTTTGCCATATATAATGCTTACATTTATCATAGGGAGTTGATACATGTAGGTAACACATTTCAATTCCTCTTTGTCCCCTCCCATCATTTCTCTATGATCCAACCCT